CATCACCACATGATCAGCCAACAACTGCGGTCACACAACTGACAAGCGGTATTTCGACATTGCCCGGACAAACAACGCCGCCTTCTGGTTCATCACCACATGATCAGCCAACAACAGCGGTCATACAACTGACAAGCGGTATTGTCATATGCGTTAGTGCGGAAGAAGGGCGATCGTTTGTATTTTTGTTGGTTTGTGTTTTGTAGGAGCATCATTGACGCCTGTATCGAGTGAGGCAGTAACGACTAGCGGTGGTCGGTGTTTGACTTTAAACGCGTTTGCTGAAAATGTGAGTGTTGTTGAACCTGAGGGAGTTACGGAAATCACGAATGGTGTAGTGGTTGTCGTGGGTTTGGTGATTCGTACAAATGGCACTGGTTGGACCCCTGTTTCGCAGTTCAGCTCGTTAGTTGTGGATTTCAGGCATCCAGTGGAGGTAGGTATTTTGTCAGTTGTTGTTTGTTTGTGTGTAATGTGGAATGCAATTTATCATTCGTAGTTGAGCCGTATTCGGTTGTTGGCTGATAATTTGAAGGAATGGAGATTTTATTATCAAACAGCTAGCGATGTGTTTCCGCGATGGAAGTCGTATTTCAATGTAAGTAGAAGGATAAAGTAGACTTTAGAGACTGTCATATATATTATTTTGGTTGTAGTCGAGTATATTCAGTACTAACGATGTCACGCTCTCGTCAACATTGGATGTTACGAAGATAAGAATAACGCCTGTGAACTCTGGTGCTGCAAATATTCGTTTAGAGGTCTTTGGATGCTTCCCACATGGTATGTAGATTTTTGTTTTATCGGTTAAGTTGTAACTAAAGCGATTTGTGTGTTATTTTCAGCTGATCACACTATGACATACACAACTTCACATACTTTTACAACCTCAGCGAGTGTCACTTGTACATATCCAAAGTGGACAGAATGGACGTCATGTACACACACGTGCGGATTGGGAGTTCAGATACGACAACGTAGCAACACAAATATAAATGTGATGTGTGATGGTCCCTTTTTCGAACAACAGGCATGTTTTCATAAACCATGTCCGTGTGTTGTGAGTGAAGTATTTTTTCATCGAGTTTTCAATAGTACAGCACCAAGCAATGGTAAGTATGTCTACTATGCACTGCTTAAACTTTAACGCTGAAGAACGGTTTTAATTTTGATAGTGGAAGTTGGTTATATCGAAAAAGATGGCCGCCCGGGCTTTAAAGGTTTTGAAAAAGTGTTTATCGGTGATATTGTTAATGCTGGCACCGTCATTCGAACGAAAGATGATTGTATAACAACTTATTGTACATCGGATGGTTTGAAGACAACTGAGAACCAATGTGTTGGTAGGTGAACGATGTAAAGCTTGTAATCAATAACAAAATTAACACTCTACTATTCTTCTAGCTAATAAAACAAAATTGACATGTGACGTTGTTCAGTACGATCAGAAACGCTTAGAATTAGATACATGTGTATCACGCGAGTCTATAGCGCTTGAGCGTTGCGCCGGTTTCTGTGATTCACATCATCGGTATGGACCAGCACTCTACATGAATGGAGCACCTCAACTGGAAAAAGTATGTAAATGTTGTTCGGTAGACCAAACGTATAAACAGACTGTAGCGATGGATTGTACAGTAAATGGTACTTATGCAGAAAAGACAATAACGATTTCTCGTATTCGATCGTGTCAATGTGATTATTGTCAAACAGCCCCATCAAAAAGATGATGAATAGAACATTCACGTTTCTTTCATTTTATTTTTCCCGGTCTTTTGTATAAATTCATTTTTTTCACGATAAATATTATTTTGCTTTAAAGTAAATAAATGTATAGAACTAAGCAGACTAAACAATCAAATATTATAATATTTGAGTGTTACCAGTATACTCGATCGCCATTCCCATGCTGCCTTCTTCTAATTGTTAATGAAAACATTGATTCTAACAAAACATCATTCAGACTATTGCAAACTACAAGAAAATCTGATAGTCTGATAGAATTTGACAATTATGCGATGCCTTAACCGCTATAATGGAGGTGATACACCACAATGGATCGATTTCAGCATAACTTCTTTCTTATAACTCCCTTATAAATGCTGGAGCCCTACGAGCCTAGGTTTTTGTAGACTCGTCGTCTAAATCGGAACCAGGTTCGTACGCACATTTTCTAAATTTTTATACCCGCACCCGGCGTTAGCAATGAATTTGAACAGCAAACTTTTCTTTGCACAGTGCAAATGTTATGGCAAGATTGTAATGCGTTCTTTCTAGTTTACAAGCAACTCCAGATTTTAGATCGGATAATCAATCCGGTGGGGAAAGAAATAGACACAAGATATTTATAAATTTAGATTCGTATCAACGGGTATGAATATAGGTCCAAAACACTTTTGGAGGACTCTACTTATGACCCAATTGCATTTTAGTAGAAGCAATGATAACTAATAGTAGGAGAATCAAAAAAATGCACACAGTTTTGCTTCTATTTGAAAAATAACGATACCAACAAACATATTTAATTGAAATTACAAAAAAGAATATCTAAAACAAAGACTATTTTGTCTTTTTATTCTTTGATTTATGTTTTTTTAGTATCGATTTTAATTGCGATTTCTTATTAGGATGCTCTTGATGCTCTTCTTCCTCCGTTGCTGTTTTCTCTTCGTCATCACTGGAATTATCTGATAATACCTCATCGAGATTTGAGTGGTTTTCAGTATTATCATTCAATAACAAATCAGAGAAGAAATTATCGGATTTTGCTGAAGAATACTTTTTATTAATTTTTTTTCGATCACTTTTTCCATGATCCATTTGAGTATTATTGAGCGATGTTACATCAACTAATTGTAATGAATTTGTACCGGATGTACCAATCAGTGATGTCTGATCATACGATACGGATAATGTATTAATTGGCATTGGACAAGAGCGACCGATCGTACCAAGAAAACGATGAGGTAATAAATGCATGGCTCTAAAGATCAGAAAATATAATCCGATTTAGACACGTTCGCTACTTTCATATTCGACTATTTCCTAAATTATCCAGTGTATATGAATTGTACTCATATTCATATTTTATCTAATATTTTCGCGTTCATAAGCTTTTCGGGATTCATCAACTCGAGAAAATGTTAAATATATAATGCTGAAGGAACAGAGAGCGACCGTTTATGGTTGTGGAGTATTCATTCTAACTACTAGCCCCACAGTTCGTTGAGATTGACTACAAATTTATGTAAAACTTCGGCACACATATTGCTAATATAAAGGGGAGGTAAGTCAAATTATTACTAGAAACTCATCCTGCGCTCCTACACACAAATGCGGAAGATTAATAAAGTAGTTCGTGATTTTATACTTAATTTATTTTTTCAACATCATTTCGTTTAAAATGATGTTCTTCAAGAAATCTCTACCTTTGCGAGCTGCATTAGGATGGGGAAGTGGGGGACATACCCATCCTAAATTTCACCACTGTCCGTCAGATTTTTGGAACTTTTGTTCTGCCTAAAGTTTGTCTAACCTTTTATTACCCTTTATTACTCCGCACTGCGGAATAATAAAGTTCTTTCCATTTTACATATGTTTCGCTTGTTTAGAAAAATTTGTCCGCCAACTTTTTAAAAAGACTGCCTGCTATAAAAATCTCTCCATCTTGATTAAAAACAATCGGAAATCCTGGTCGCATACGTCGGAGTTTCACAGTACGTCGGAGTTCTACACTGCCAAGCTTTCTCTAGATCACGCGAAGTATGTTATTTCAACTAGTTAAAGAAACCATTATTAAAGATGTGTTTAGATGCTACCTTATACTTCCATCTTCACATCCTGTACAAATAACGTTTTCATTAATTTTTTCGATACATTCAATTGCACCTGGATGTCCTGGACAACGATCAGACATATTTCCAAATTCTTTCCAGTTAAATATATACAAAACACCGTCCATTGTACCGCAAACAACTTTCTTTCCATCCTATCCAGACAAAGAACAACAAGATGTTACCAAGTCTTGTTTCGATAACATTTTGCATATATACATATATAAGTGTACTTACTCGAAATATCCTTATTGATGTCAGATCAGAATCCATTAATTCTGATTGTAACTGCATCTTCTTTTTCCGTACATTATAACAAGTTAATGTTCCTTCACCACTAGAAACAGAAATGGCTGAACAAAATTTGTTTTTGTTTTTTAACAAGCTATATTGTTTACCTTGTTGCTAACAATGTTCTTCTATCATTTGCACAAACTAAATCACTGATATAATCATCACAATCATTAAATTCAGCTAATGGTTTCTTTTGTCTATAATCCCATAACTAAAACAACTAAAAAATTATAATTATGATTATTAATTTAAATTGTTTGTGGGTATTACTAGAAAAACAAAGATTGAATAAATTTGCTACTCCATACAATAAGCAGTATGAGATATAACGCCACACCTTCTAGTAAAAACTCGAAAAATCCCTTATAAGTGGATCTGGAAGGATTTTTCTCGACTGTCCATAGTATTTTGGTCGAATTCTATATAGTCAAGAAGATAGACAGAATACAAGAACTGAAATAGCCAATATCAACAAATCAAAGTCTTACTGTATTTTTTTCTTCTAGATTTTCCGTATGAGAATAATTTAGCATTACATTCAAGCATTCATTTACCTTAACACAACCATTGTCATCGCCAGTTGCCATTACGCAGTTATCAACAACACATAAACAATTGATCGGCGAGCTAAAAAAACAAATTGAAAATATATGGATCATCGGCATCCTGGTCGGAAACGTTAAGGAACATTTCAAATTGTTGGCATCGGCAAAACCTAACCATATTTTAAGGACCTATACGCTTCAACATTATTGTGATTATTATTGTGAACGATTGTAGATTGTTGTTTCAGAAATATTTTAAAAAGACAATCAGTTAGAAACCTGACGTATTATTTTACTAACTCATGTGCATGTTTAAATTTCGATGACATTTTTCCTGTTTCAGTTGAACGTATTTTGATTGAACGATCTTTCGATGTTGTTATTAAATATTCACCATCAGGTGTAAATCCAATTGAACGAATCGATTTTTTATGTATTTTCATTTGCCGTTCGATTGACATAACGTTAATATCATCTACAGATACCCTACAACATAAAAACAAAAATACCAGATAATTTCAGTATACACTTTTAGTAAACTACAAAGCAAAGGATTTTACCTACCAACTTAGATGTCCACTTATTGTTCCCGCCATAAACATTTTAGTCGTTGGATGGAATCGTACACACATTATATCGTGTTTAAAAACAATTTCTTTAATGTTATTAACATCATTTTCAGTCATTTTTTCATAAAAATCTATAAATATTACAACTCACATACATAATTATTGACATTTAATTGTTCTTAATTTTTTAATCTACAACGGGGAACTTTCACTTTATCGATTTCATATTATCGTGGAGACAAGTCCTAATATTCCACCCTTTCTTACAGGGGCGTATTTAGACTCTCAAATCAGGAGGGTGGTCCTGCCAGAAAAGATGTTTTCTGAAGAACAAAAGACACAAAACAGAAAGTTTTCTGAAAGCAGGGGGATCGTAACCAACTTCACAACCAGCCTGAAGGCTGTAATTGGCAAGAGACACAAGGTGGAAATTTCTCAATTTTAGTGGTCTACTAAAGATTTGTAATGTAAACGCTCTCAAAGTTAGACTACGTTCACACTACGAAAGTTAAGTGACCTAAAACGAAGTTGATTGGTGGGAAAGTTAACACCGAGTTAAATGATGGGTTCTTCTACAGATCGACCAACTCCTCAGTGGTAAAAGTGAGCTGCGGTAGCGGTAAGTGATGGTTGTGGTCGATCTGTAGAAGTATCAAATGATGTTTCGGACATCATTTAACTTTAACTCTCCAATCATAAATGAGCACAGTAACCAATAATATGGTTCCACTAGACAAGGGCGGTAGCACCAGTTCTGTAGGGAAACAAACTGACTCTCCACTCAATTTTTCTGTTTCAGCTTAGACAATCAATTGTAGAACGTAAATTCAAATCGGTCGGCTGTTAGGAAGGCGCAATCTTTGAGAATATTGAAGCAAGGAAACAGCACAATTCTAGCAAAAATGTTAAAATCTTATTGGTGTGTTAAAGAGTTAGGTTTGAAGTTAACTTCGAGTTAGTTCAGAGTTAACTCTGAAAAATTTCTAGAGTACACGTAGCCATAAAGCTGAAGTTTTGTCATTGGAGTATATCTTATGCCTCTCTTCCGACTTTTATTCTTCCCTTTACGAGAATTACAGTTATTTCCATAAAATAAAAATAACAGAACGGCTGACACGTGCTTAAATCTAATTCTTGATTCATCAAAAAAACTTAAGTATATCCAACGTACGACATCTATTTAAGCTTTTTTTATAATGTACATTTAGGGTACTTCCATTTAGGTTCCATTCAGTGGCGGCGCGAAGAGGTTGGGAGCATGGGGAGGTAAATCCAAAAATGGGAGTAAGGTCTCCAAAAATTAAGCCCCCGACTCTCCGAACTCATGGTGAAGTATAAATAATTG